TCTAGCATATAAAAATGTAAATTTTATAGTTTAGAAAATGAAAAGATCAAAGAAAGAAAAAGGAAATACTTCCGTTATATAGCCTTAAAACTTAATAATCAGATGAATATTAAGGGTCTAAATAAAATAAAAAAAAATTCAAAATAGCAATAATTCTTATTGTCTTATCTTTATAAAAGCTAGACTAAGAGTTTTATTTCATATTTACCCTAACTTTCACCATGCTTCCAAATCTGCAATCCAGAAAAACACGTAGTAAACTAAGTAATGTTCAAAAAAACAAAATTTGTGAATATTCTAATCAGAACTCATCAGCAAAGTATCAACATATTGCTGAAGAATTTACGCGAAGATACTCTGAATTAAATATTGAGCGATCAACTGTGTCTAAAATTTTTAAAAAAAAAGACCAATATCTGCATCTTAATAAAAATGATGCAGCACATAATCATTATAAAAACAGGCCACCTAAATATCCTTTAATTGAAAGGGCAATGAATATTTGGGTGGGCCAAGTATTAGCAGCTGGTTTAATTCTTACAGACGAGTTAGTAAAAACAAAAGGCTGTGAATTTGGAAGACTACTTGGAATGTCTGAAAGTGAATTAAAATTCTCTAATGGGTGGGTTATGAATTATAAGAAAAGAAATTCCTTACGTCGGTATAAACTCCATAGTGAGGCTGCAAGTGTGCCTTTGAAATCTCTAGTGAATAAAAGGATAAAGCTTCAAAACCTCTTTTCACAATACGAATTGGAGGATATATATAATACTGATGAAACAGGATTGTTCTACAGAATATTACCGCATCAAACACTAGCAAAGAAAGCTGTTACTGGTTTAAAACAAGTAAAATAATTTTTTTTAACTCTAGTATTGAAAAGTTAAAGACACTATCTATTGTACAGATCAAATGAAGGTAAATCAGGTCCAACTGGTATAACATAATCCCAATATGAACCTTATTTGAAACAGATATTTGGCGGAAATAGAAGACCTTTAGGATGCTAATCAGGTTTATGTAGGCATTCAATACATATCAGAATGCTGATAGCTCTATAGGTAAATCGATAAAGCTAATAGGCTAGCTTTATTGATTTACCAATTGAACTAGAGCATCCTGATATATATTTAATACCCATATAAACCAGATTAGTATTCTAAAAGTTTCCTATTTCCGCCAAATATCTGTTTCAAATAAGGTTCATATCGGGATTACATTATACCGATTGGAGCCTGATTTACCTTCATTCAACTTGTGTTGTTATTATGTAAAAATTTAATATCAATCTTTATATAGGATAAGTCACGACTTATAGTATTATTAGCCATGAATGCAACCGGTTCAGATAAGCTTCGGCCTCTTGTTATTAGTCGTTCAAAAAAACTATGAAGTTTTAATGGTATAAACTTATCACAGCTTTCAGTCACATATAAAAATAATGAACGGGCATGGATGAGATCAAATATTTGGGAAAAATGGTTACGGTTTATTAATTCGGGTTTTCGCATTCAAAATAAAAAAATTTTGCTTTTAGTAGATAATGCACCATCACATAGTTCTCCTGAAGTGCCTAATAATAAAAATAAAGAAAATAGTATCAATAATGTTGATGATGATAGTAATCGATTAAATTCTAATGAAGAACAAGAGCTATGTGGAAGTGCACATGAAAGTGCACATGGAAATGTATGTGAAAGAGCAAGAGGAAGAGCAAGAGGAAGGGCAAGAGGAAGGGCAAGAGGAAGAGGAAGGCCAAGGGGAAGGGCACAAGGAACTCGTGCTAATTCTTCACGCAAAAAAAAAACACTAAAGCTTTCCAACATTACCTTGCATTACCTTCTGCCTTACACAACAGCTCATCTCCAGCCTATGGATGCTAGTATAATCAAATCATTCAAGTCAAAATATAAGCATCTATATTGTGAATTTGTCCTCAGGCAATTTGAATCGAGTGTCGATATAAAAGAGTTTGTATAATTATTAGCAATAATTAAAATCTATCTGATTGGCTGTCGATTCATATAGTAATACTCTATATAAAAATATGATCAATCATATAAAAGATCGCTAACAAATTTGATTATATCAGATTAAAATTTGCTAGAAGCAAGTAACAATATTTTTTTAAAATTTCGGTAACTATTAATTATGAAAATTAATGACTTACTATTTGTAAGTAATAATTTTATATAATAAATAGCTAATGAAACTTTAAAGAAATATTGTTCTATGACATCTAGCAAATTTAATCTAATATAATCAAATTTATTAGTAACTTTTAATATAATCGATCGTATTTTTGTATGGGACATTTACCCTAATCAGCCAATGAAAATTTAAAGATCAACAACCAATCATCATGCTATAAATATTGCCACAGCTTAATTGATGCTAAAATTTGAGATTATTGTTTAAAAATATAAACTCTACTAATTATCCCGACTCTCTATATCAACATTAAACCCAGTGTTAGCAATTGGTTATCTTTGGACATAATAAAAATTACATGATTGGATAATTGAACATAAAATTTAAGGTTTACCAGGAAATTCCAAAAGACAGATTTCCGAAAGGACATAATATCGATAAAGTTGATTAGCATAATAACTAATACAACTTTGTCAATATTATGTCCTTTCAGGAATCTGTATTTTAGGATTTTTAGAAAATCTAAAATTTATTCAATATTTTTGCAAAATAATGCTCTGCATATTATTTTGCAAAAATCCATATATTCAATTAGCCAAAAATAATCTGACATATAGATCAACCCAACACTGACTAAACCAAATCTAACTCTTAAAAAAAAAACCTAAAAAAATTAAATTTTATATTAAAAAATTAAGTAAATTTTTGTACCAATTAAAATAAATAACAAAATCTATTGCATTTACTTAACTTCCTTTTTGCAAAAAAAAACTAAGTGTAAAAAAGGCAATTTATTTTATCTCGGATTCTTGGAACAATATAAGTAGTACCACTATTAAGAACTGTTGGCGCAAGACAGGTATTCTCCCAAATGTAAATGAACCAGAAGAAGATAATATAAATTAGCATATCAAAAGTGATATTTTATTGGAAAACAATAAAATTGAGAAAATAATTTTTAAACTACCTAATAAGAGCAATATGTGCCTGAGACAGCCCATGCTGTAGCAACGTATATAGAGGTAGTTGATAAACCAATTGCAACAGAAGAAATACTTAATGATGATAAGATCATTGCAGCGGTTCAAGCTGAGGAAAATAAGGAGCTAATTGGTAAAGGTGAAGATGAAGATGAGAATGGGGTGCCCGATCCACCTGTATCCACCGTTGAAGTATGCAATACAATGCAAACCGTTATTTATTATGAAGAACAGGAAAATTCAGAGTCAAATCTTACACCAGTGGAGTTAGGATTTTTGAGGAAGTTGCTCAAAAAATATAAGCACATATATGAGAAATCAAAAAAGCAAACAAAAATTACTAGTTTTTTTGATTCTCATGATTTGTACCAAGAATTATATTTTCAAGACTATTCCCAAGACTATTCCCAAGATTACTCCGAAGATTACTCTCAAGACCATTCCCAAGGCTATTCCCAAGACTATTCCCAAGATTACTCTGAAGATTACTCTCAAGACCATTCCAAAGGCTATTCCCAAGGCTATTCCCAAGACTATTCTCAAGACTTATATTCACAGGATTCGTATTCTCAAGATTCGCATAATCAAAACTCTTATTTGCATGATTCGTATTTACAAGATTCATATTCACAAGATTCACAAGACTATTCGCAAGAAATGTACTTCTAAGATTCGTCGTCCCTTTATTCTCAACATTCATATTTTTTTAGCACCAAAAAATTAAAGTCAAATTAAAATAAATTTTTTATTTATGCTTAATAAACCACACTTTTTATTTACCTGAATCCTAGCATATGTATTTGAATGCCTAATCTTGAATAAAAGTAGTCCAAGTTTGATCTAAAAAAATAAATACACATCTAATCTTGTGAATTTTCTAAGAAAAATCTTTGCTATTTAAATGCTAAATGCTTATACAATGCTGTAATGTTGTGAGACTCCAAGAATCTCGAGGCAAATGACTCTAATTAGTTGAACTAATGAAAATTATTGTCATAGCTTTTAGCAATAAAAGAAAAAAAAAATCCGAAGATTTGGAATAAGCTATTGAAATCTGTGATCACAGCAAATAGACTTTAAAATTTTTTTCATTAGTATGATTTCGAGTTGAAATTGAATATACACAATATTAAGGCTTTCAAACGACACGACCAAGATGGCTACTGATTTTACAGGTCATGTAGGCCTGCAACAATTGTTATAATCAAATCAGTATTAAATCTATAATGCGAATACTAGAAGATTTTGACCCGGTATTGCATATTGAACATTACTTATGTGACCTCAAAATCGGTGGCCACCCTGGTCGTGTTGCTTTCGAACTCAGAACTGTAACGTCTCATATACTGTAATTCAGAAGCCATTAACCGAAAGATCAAATGCTTACTATTACTATTACGGTAGCATGATAAAGCTAAGTATATAAGCCACCTTTATATAGTCACAAGATTTTATTTATTATCTCTTAAATTGTAACATAGGCAAATTTGCCTGCGAAGATTTTTACTAATTTTTTTAATATTTAAATTTTTTAATAAAATTTTGAATATTAAT